AAACCGAACCGTACCGAACCGTGGCTCCAAAACCGTGAACCGAACCGAACTGTGCCTTTTGTGTATCGTTACACCCCTAGTGTGTGTATATATATATATATATGTATATATATATATATATATATATATGTATATATATATATATATATATATATATATATATATATATATATATATATATATATATATATACACACACACACACACACACACATATATATATATATATATTTGAGGTGTAACGGTTTACAAAAATCATGGTTCATTATGATACGGCACGACACAGTGGTGTCACGGTTAGGTATGTTTTTGATACAAAAAAAATAAGAAAAAAGCCAGAGGATTTCTCAGATTAAAATTTTTTTATGTATCAAAACTAACATCATAAAAGTATGATTTTTTTTTTCTTTTACTTTAAACAGGGATAGAGCTACACTTTTGGGGTTTCTGCTTTGCAGCAAATAAAACAAATCCTTCTTTATACTCAAAACCAAAAACTGCTTTGCAGCAAATAAAACAAATCCTTCTTTATACTCAAAACCAAAAAGTTTCCTATAAAAATATAATATTTTACTAGTTAAACAAATAAAAATAAAAGAAAAATTTTGTTTTTATATGGAACTCAGTTTCAATCTATTTTTAAGTCATTTTTTTATTTTCAGAAAGATGAATGTTCACCTTTTCTTTAGACAAGTCATCTGCTTGATTTGACTGTCACCTGCCATTTTAGGGGATCTGAAAGCAGGAATAATCTGACTGAAATGGGCTTATAAAGGAATAATGTAATGTATTATTATTGAATAATAAAGAAACCAATCTAACTCCATACTTCATCTGACATTTTTGGGTTAAAACTGTTGGTCAACTTCAAGGTTAACGAAACCCTTTTTTGAGATTTTAACAGATGTGTGTGTGTGTGTGTGTGTGTGTGTGTGTGTGTGTGTTGAGCAATAGTTAAGACAATGTTAGCACCTGTTAGCTTTAAATGTGGAAAAAAAATTATAATTTTGAGCTTTTGTCAGCTAATTTCAGCTTTTGGGTTTAAAATAATTTTTGGGGCGGGATCAAAATCGGCAACGTAGCGCAAAACTGCAAGTGCAAAAATGACGCGTCAGTTTCTCATCATTATTCAAAGCTGAGTTTTCTTATCCTATGAGAAGAGATTGCTTCTTAACTATTCATAAATGCACATGCTTTCCGAAGGCAATGCACAGACATGCCAGTGCAAAGCTGTGAGACACGGACCCACGGCAAACAGTATTTAGCTGTTCAAGAAGGGTGGTATGTGTTTGTTTCCATGATCCACTGGGTCTGTTACATGTTTTTCCTTGCGATCCTGTCAAGGCCAATACAGCAAAACTGTTTGTGTGTAGCAAACCTTTTTTCTCGGGAGACCAGTACAAGAATCGGAGAATCGTTCGTTCACATTTAGACACATCCACCGTGCTGCTGTGTTTGCCTAAATCCTCTAGATTACCAACAGGGTTAATGGTTAAAAATAGACAGGGCAAGAGACCTGCTGCACTGAGTCTGCATTTAGACCTATCAGGGCTCGACAATAAGGACTGCCCGATGCCCCGGGGCCAGCGTGCGAGACGCTCGGGCCAGTGTACAGAATGTTTAGAATGCCTTGTCACAAAAGTTTGGCTGCGACTGTCTGTCAATTGCAAGCAAATACTATCTTAGGGTGCTTTTACACATAGACGTTTGTTTCGAAATCTGTCTCGTTTCTCCGCGGTTAGCACGGTTTGTTTGGCATATGTAAATCCAACAGTCGCGCTCCACATCCGCGCAAAATCAATCAGTCCAAGATCAACTGAATGAGATGGTCTATGCTCGATTGAGTGGATCGACTGTAGTAAGAAAACAATGCAACGAACTAACAAACCAGGCTATATCACAGTGTATTATGATTATGCAAAAGCCATATTTAGGGCGATGCGAAGAGAGAATGATGAGCAGCGCGGTTAAGTTGGTTTTGTTTTCGATAACTTAATCCTGACACATTCAGTTATAGACTGCAATAACTCAAAAAACTCTTACCCTAAAAAGATCTAAAGTGTGTTTCCTACAAAAAGACAAAGCTGGTTATGCTTCACAGCTGTATTTTTCTTTTTTTTCGCTCGACATTACGAGCACTGCCCCTTTTAAGCCCTTGCAATATGCGTTTAGCCGGGAGAGCTCGCGCGAAGGGGAGCTCTCAGTAAGGGACCGTCGGAAAAGTGCTTTTTTTTTTTTTTTTTTTTTTTTTTATAAAATAACTTGTCATTTACGGTTGCATATGGGAACTTTCAGAACCTCTCCTTTTACCCTTACTCGTAACAAAAAAAAAAAAGAAAAAAAAAAGGATTATCATGAGCAGGGTGGGATGTCATTCCTGCCAGTAAATGTGCGCTTCATGTCTAATGCGAAAGTGAAAGCATGCTGAAATATTACCTAGAGCTGTTTATACATTAGAAAAATTGACCGAAGTTACCATCTGATCACTTTTCCATATTTTAATCTTATAATATGTTGTATTAGGCCTGTTGTTTTGTTCATTTCTGCACTGACAGCTCGAAAGAAAGATCAACATTGTTCTGCTTTGCATATGAACTGAGACTGCATCAGATAGCAATGTCTCTCTATAATTTAAGCCTATAATGCAGAATTCTAGCCAATGTTTTTTAAATAGATTGATTAATTCAATAGATATATTTTTACACAACTTGACAACTGAAATGAGGCTCTGTATGAGAAAGTCTGACCTCTGATTTGTATTTGGTGACGATGTCTGTGGGTTGTTAAAATTAAAGTGCATACTTTCGCTTATAAAATATTATATACACGATTGCTCAAGTTTGGGGTCAGTATGATTGTTTAATATATAAAATAAGCTTCTCCTGCTCACCAAGGCTGCATTTATTGTATCATAAATACAGCAAAATTGTGAAATGTTGCACTATAAAATAATGTTCAAAAGTATTTTATAATTTAATTTAATTTATTCCAGTGATTTTAAAGATGAATTTTCAGCTTCATTGCTCCACACTTCAGAGTAATAGTAATAGTAATAAAAGCAATAATAATAAAAGCAAATAATGTCTGGAATAATAGTTTTATTTGAAACTACATACAATAAGAAAGCAGTTATTTAAACTTTTAATAAATATTTAGCAAATTTACATTTTTTTACATTTAATAAATGTCGCCTTGATGAACTGAATAATTTTCCTTAAAAAAAAAAAAAAAAAAAAACATTGCAAAAAATTTACGTACCGTAAATACACACCCACACCGACTCACTTACCCACCCACTCACTTTTTTTTTTTTTTCTTGGTGGGGCCAGTGAGAATTTGGCAACCACTGTCCCACAGTAAAAATCGGAACCTTAGCGTTGAACCCTGCTTATGATTCAGACCCGGGGATTGAGGGAAAAGTCCTCATTTAAAATGTTTATATGAATACGATTATCTTTTTAATTATATAAATTGTGGTTATCTGTATATGAAATTACGAATAACAAATGTAACAGGGCATTAAATTACTGTATATTTCTTTGCATTTTAACTTAGTAGACTATAAAATCATGCGTCTCCTCACGGTTTGTGTCTCATTTTGTGAGCTAACTGACAACAGTTGTCCCTCCTTCTCTCTTGCTGGTTACGCCCACACCTGTCCTTTGCTTGCGGAGCTCCACGCTCATTATAAAGCATCTTTTAAAAACATTCTGAGGGAGACTTGAACCGAAAGTGAGGGGGTGTCATGACCCTTTAAAGTACAAAGTAAACAATAAATCTAAATTTATATTGCCAACTGTACCAGCCTCGAGGGCAGTACACACACTTTACAAAAGAATTTGATGATTTCTTAATCGAAATAATTTTGGCCACAGATAAAATTGTAATTGTTGGTGAATGTAAGATTTAAATAGATAATGAAAAAAAATGCATCAAGTCTGGCCTTCCTAGAAATAGTCACCTCTGTTGGAGTGAAATTGCACATCTCAGAACATACTTCGGATGTAACATTATAATATGGTATAAATATAATTTCGAAGTTGTGTAGGAGAGTGATGACTTTTTAGATCACAATTTAATATCTTGTATTTTGTGCATTTATTGGTCTACATAACCAGCTACTGTAGCACTAATAATGACTTTGTCAGTAACCTACCTGATCTTTCTAATTTCCTTAGCTTTCCAGACAGCTGCAACTATTGATTCTGTCCTTTCTAATACATTAGACACAATTGCTCCATTATTTTTAGAAAAGATTAAAGAAAACAAAAAATTATGCAGTGGCGTTTTATGTGTTTTTTCACACGCAAGATTGATGAAAAACATATGCTGGATAAGTTGGCGGTTCATTCCACAGTGGCGACCCCAGATTAATAAAGGTACTAAGCCGAAAAAAAAATGAATAAATGAATGTTCTCAGAAGTTGGGAAACCTGTTCCTAACATTTTGTTTCAAACCCTACTTTTAGGACTTGTGTCTAAAACCTTTAAATTAGGTGTCATTAAGGCTGTAATTAAAAAAAGAGAAAGAAAACACTGCTTGATCCTATTTAATTAGTAAACTACAGATCCATTTCAAACCTGACTTTTCTATCAAAGATACTAGAAAAAGTTGAACCTACTCAATTATGTTCCTTCCCACAGAAAAACTATATTTGTGAGAAATGGCATTTGTGAGTTATGGCATTGCATATTATAAATGACCTGCTCTTATTGTCCGATCGTGATTGCATTTCTCTGTTTATATTGTTGGACCTCAGGGCTGCAATCGATGCAATTGATTATAACATTCTCTTTGAGTGGCTCGAATATTCTGTTGGTATAACTGCATTGTCTGGGCTCTGTTCATACTTATCTGAACATTATATATATATATATATATATATATATATATATATATATATATATATATATAAATATATATATATATAATATTTTATTATTTATTTATAATATTTACAATATTTTATATATATATATATATATATGACTTATACTTACCAAAGTAAATGTCGGCTTGTGTGCACAGCCATGACTGATTGTTGGGGTTGAGGCTGAGGGCATAGTTAACCAGCTCCTTTAAAGTGATGACCACAGCGTCAACATCCACAGACTGTAAACTGAATAAACACCAGAGCATTTTACACTAACATTACACTATCAAGCATGTACAGATATAAATACAGAAACATTTCTTCATATAATAAAGAAACAATTTTATTGGCTTTGATTTACTTTGTGAGAGATGAAGGCCATATGGAGATGTGCTCAGCAGTCACTTCATTGACTATATCATCCTAAAAACAAACAAACAAACAAACAAACAGCATTTATATATAGACATCAACTAAAATCAAAAAAGTAATCAGTGCTTTTGTGGAGAAACATCCTCTACACTGGTTACCACATACCCGTACAATACTGTGCAGCCGCACAAACAAAGAGATGAGTGTAGTCAAAACCAATGGCTCCTAAAAACATAAGAGTTATTGCAGATTAAATTTAAAGGTTTTAAAGCACAAACAAAACTTAACATTTTTATGCTTACCCGTATTTTTTTCACAAAAGTGATGAATTTGCTCCTAAAAGCATAAAAACGTGTAACAAAATATTAACCTAATTATTTACATAACATATATATAATACATTAACATAAATATATAATGCATAATTATTTTGCAAATAAACACTTTATCACAGGACATTGCAGATACCCAAATATGCTCTGTCTGATTTTTTTTTTTTTCCCAGGCAGCCATATAAAGCAGGAATATTTTATAATTTATTACTGTATTAAAATTTCCCTCTGTCTTACCGGGGCAGAATACCAAGAGATGACTCTCTCTGTTTAAGAAGGCTCACTCTGCTGTCACTGGTGCGTTTGTGCTGGCTAGAGAAACTGCAGATTTGCACAACCACTTCCCAAAGCTCTTTAGCTGTGCGTCTGCTCTCTTTAGGTCCTGGAAGTTCCTTACAGGTGGATGCTATCAGATGCCCAAGCTGTATTTGTTACAGTGTGAAAAGCAAAATACAGAAGTAAGAAATCTTAACCTGTGTAGAACAAAATGTGATTAGGACATTTTGGTCAGATACCTTTATATACGGATTGTTGTTGACAAGTGACTGGGGCACCTGTAGAGTCAGATACTCATTCTCCCTCCAGTTGAGCATGAACACAACACATTCCTCACCAACAGTCTGACGTAGTGGGAGATCTGCAGGTGTAAAGAACACATTGATAAATTACATCATCTTATGCAAAAAACAAACAAACAAAAAAAACAAATAAACTTTAATTTAATTTAATGACAAGTGATTCTTTATATCAACAACAGCAGCCAATTTTGTCAAAAGACCATAAACTCATTTTATTTCTGCACAATTTGGGTCCATGACACCACAAGACAGTGTTGGCAAAGAAACTGTAATTAAATGATCTGTTTTGACTATCAGCTATCCAGCTGCACCCTTAAGCAGATATTTTACAATGTTTTTACAAAGTTTTTAAATCAAAGAAAGACAGTTAAATCACTATGTAAATCACAATAACGGAATTCACCACGGCTACAGTGTCAGTAGAATTATAAATCATACTATTATACAACAGGAGTTTAAAATTCTGGATGTTAAATCATGTATATATGTAAAGTATCTATAATAGAAAATTTTTACAGGAGTATAAATTTACTTGGTGTGCATGGTGGGCATCCTGTCACATTTACCGCAAGTAGATGTGCAAAAAACAGCACAATAAGTGTGTGTGTGCATGTGCGTGCGTATGTGAGTGCGCGCGTGCATGTTGATAGGAGATAATAGGACTGATAGGATTTGTGTGTGCATGTTTTTTTATTAAAAAGTATTTCTAAAAACCTTAATGTTCATGTGTTTACAGCAAGACGGACTGTCTACAAATGGAGGAAGTTTAGAAGAGCACAGCATTAAATGCTCAATATGGTGAAAAAATCCTAGAGTGTCAGCTAAAGGCCTAAAGAAATCTCTGAGAAATCCACAATAAGTGAAACATTAAACAAAAGTGAAATTTATGTGAGGACACCATGGAGGAAAGCACCGTTGTTAAAAACAAACAAACAAAAAAAAATCATTTGAAGTTTGCAAAAAGCATCTGAAAGTTCCACAGCACTAGTGACAAACTATTTTGTGGACAGATGAAATCAAAATTGAGTTGTTTGGAGAGAACACAGAATATTTTATGTGGAGGGGAAAAAGTACAGCACACCAACATCAAAACTTCATCCCAATTGGAAAATATGGTGGAGGCAGCAAAGCATCCCCAAACCATGATGCCCCTCCCAGTTGGGATGAGGTTTTGTTGTTTGTGTGCTGTACCTTTTTTCCCCCCCCCACACAACACTCCACACATAGAACTTAGAGAGGATGGGTGATGCAACAAGACATCGACATAAAGCACAGAAGTAAATGAATAACAGAACGGTTTCAATATCAGAAAATACACCTTCTGGAGTCCAGACCTAAACCCAACTGAGATGCAGTGGCATGAACTAAAGAGAGTGATTCACACCAGACATCCTGAGAATATTGCTGAACTGAAATAGTTTTGTAAAAAAGAAAGGTCCAAAATCCCTCCTAACCATTGTGCAGGTCTGATCTGGAACTACAGAAAATGCTTGGTTGAGCTCACTTCCGCTACGGAAGGGTTAACCAGTAACTAAACTTATTTTTCATAATTAACATATGTTTTACTTGTTTAGCCACCCTACACTGTATATTTTTACATGTTGTGCTCAATAAAATATGAACAGATATCATAATTGTGTGGTATTAAATTAAGCATACTGCATTTTTCTACTGGTCTGACTTCTGAAGATCAGAAAACATTATCTGTGAAATCTATGCCTTAATACAAACAATCCCAAATGATTCACATAATTTTTCTCGCAACTGTATGAGTATTTACAAAAAAATACTATTTACATTTTTCAAATCTGTTTGCCTTATAAATACGATCAACATGACAGAATGTTTTAAGCTCAAATACTATACTAAAATGCTACATGCATTTGCTGACCCCAGGCTGTTAATACATTGTATGGAGTGCCTCAAGGATCAGTTTTAGGCTGCTTAGCTATTTACAATATACATGCTGCCTCTCTGAGACATTATTTGAAGGCATGAGATTAGCTTTCTGTTATGCAGATGATGCTTTATTTTAAATTACAACAAAAACCTGATGTGACTTCAGAAATGCATAAGCTAACTGAGTGTATTAAAGTTGAAAAAGTATGGTGAAAATTTTCTTCTTTGAATATCCGACAACTGTTACTTATTGAGCCCAAATCCTGTACACAGCAGATCCCAAAACTCAACCAGCAATTAGAGGGACACAATTTAAGAATTAATTCTACTGTTAAATTAAGTAAATTAAGCAAATAAACTTTTGAAAATCATATCTCAAGTCACAAAAGGCTGCCTTTTTTCATCTCAGAAATAGCACTTAGTGAAGAAACATGCTACGTCAGATGTAGTTCATGCTTTTATAACCTCTAGACTGGATTACTCTAACACTCTGCTGACTGGTTGCTCTGACATTTTCTAAAATTGTTGTCATATTCGATTAATAAATTTCACTTAGTGCCAAATGCAGCTGCTACAGTTCCTACCAGGTCTAGAAAATACAGATGTGGCTAATTAAAAACGCACAAGTAAATGACCGTTACGCAACAGTGTTCCAAAGAGCCATAGAGCATGGTCTAACAGAAAAAAGACATGACCAGCAGTGGGCAGTTATGCAACATCCTAAACTGATAGCAGGGCACATGGTGAGATATACTTAAGTTTATAGTGCAAAGGAATTAAAAACAGAATAATCATAATTCTCTCAGCAATAGTATTTTTTTAAATCATGGTTTGTTCACTGAAAAATAATTTTTCAAAATGTTGTGGATCAACTAAAAATTAAGATCAAAACACATCTCTGACTAGCCTAAAACTTGAATGCTACTAGGGGTTTGAATTTTATTACAAGCACTAAAAATAAATACCTCAAAAACAAAAAAATAGAACAAAAAGATTTTTGCTGCAAGCAAATTAACAAAATTTACTTTTAAACGCTGGAGGGAAATATTGTTATGCAGTTCAAAACAAAAATCAGAAGGATGACACCACGGTTAAAGTATTTATTTTAGACAGGTATCTTTTAAAACTATTTTAGTCATGCAAAGCTTATGTAGATTGTGTGCTCATGAATAGGTTTATATGCACAACAGTGTTTTTTAACCACTGAAAATGTCTGCCAAAAGATTGGCTATTTTTAAGTTGATTGATTACCTTTTACAGCATTATTAATATAGTCGGTTAAAAAACCTAAGCAGTCGTTTAGTTGTTCAAGTGAAAAAGGAGATAAAAACAAGCGATGTATGAGGATCAGTGAGGACAACTGAAAATAAAAAGTCACTCATTGTCTTGGTGACATGAATGTAGGTGTAATGCAAAAATATGACTGGATATTTCTGTTTTTAGCATTACTTATTTCTGATCAAATTTTTATTTAGTTTAATAACAAAACATAAGTAAATGTGCTCTTTCACCTAAGCAGCTTTATTGAGGTGAAGTTTGATTTATATTCACGCATTTGTTCATTTTTGAACAGTGACAGTCTGTGACACAGTTTTGGGGAAATGTAATTCCTGCACCTGTTGGCCTGTCAACAACTACGCTTGACAAAGTGAGTGTCTCCACAGAGTTTTCTAACTGGTGAATGACATGATCTAGTGTTCTATCTAATCAGTGCGCGTTCGTGTGTTCATGACTTAAAGAGGCGTGGGTTTGGACAGCAGGGGAGGGACGTAAAGTATCTAAGCTATTGCTACCATTCTGGCAGATCTTCTACTACACCTTTAACTAAACATTATTTGGGGTCAGTTGACATCTTAAAGGGCGACTAGTTTACCCCTTTTTTAAGATTTAATATTAATACTATGGTTCGTCTGAGTGTGACAGTCGATCTCAAAACAGCTTCGATTGGTCCACCATTTTTGTTGTTAAATTGAAAAAAAAAAAAAGAAAAAAAGGACTGGGTGTGTTTATATGTCCCCAATTTGACAGTTTGTACACTTTACCTATACATATTTCTGTCCAAACAGCTTGAAAAGTAGATTTTGCACCATCGGTGTCCTTTTAAGTAATGATAATATTTTATTTATAATGCACTTTTCTAAAACCAAAAAGCACTACAACCAACAGAGAATCTAAGCATGCAATAAAATACAAGGATTCAACATAGAAAAAAATAAAATATAAACACATTAGAATGATCAAGAATTTTAGAACGTTTTCAACAACAACTTAAAACTAGCTAGTGTGAAAGTATTCCTTACAAAGAACTAAATATCCCATGCTTGGTTCAAAACACACAAGCGGAGGTTGCCAGATTGACAACATCAACAGAAGCGTGCCTAACTATCCCCGCTAAAGCAAATGCATCACTGTCATCTGTGTGTGACTGCCGTCTGTGTGTGACAGCTTTACTAGCCAATTGAGTGAGCACACTTTCTTTCTGCTCAATCAGAATTGTGCAACCAAATTATGCAGAACGCCCACAATAAAAAAAAACAAACAGGAAAGCGCTGACACGTGGAATTATGGCGTCTGCCGTTTCAGAAGCATAAAAAAGCACCACAGGCAGCTATGTGAGAAGCGTCTTGCCTAAAAAAAGGGGCGTAGATTTAGCATGGATGGAGGGGACGTGGAGGGAAATCAACTATTGAAATGTCCCCGCCAATAATTTAATTAAAAATCGCGTTGTCAATATTAACCTGGACATAAGTCTTATCTCTCCTTGAGTCACACCTCTCCGAAACACATTTGAACATTGTGATTGGCTGTGCCTTTCCCTGCTGTCATGTGAGAGGCTGTAGCTGTGTTCAGAAAAGCAGCTCCAAAACAGCGCAGGGGAATTTCTTGTGCAAGAATAAGGTGTGTGACACACAAGGGTGAGGATAGCGGGAGCAAAAAGGACCTTTTTTTCAGTGAAAAGTGTAAGTCACTTAAGGTTCGCTACTGAATCCATTGTTTTCCCCCTATTTAAAGTGTATATATATATATATATATATATATATATATATATATATATATATATTTATATTTTAGTGCTGTCAATCGATTAAAAAAAAATTAATTAATCGCAACTTAAAAAAAAATTATTGCGATCAATCACATTTAAAATACTGACACTTTT